TTCCATGAACAGCAATGGTTTTTTTTTTTGTGTGTGTGTGCAGAAGTAGGTACTTACTGCTGGTAGTTCCCAGAACAAACTATATTAAGAAAACTTCAGAATTTTTTATGAGATTCAGCACAACTTCAAAAGGTCACATGATGAATTTGTGAAACTTCATGTTGCTGTAGTAATTATGATCCATTTCCTTGTAATGAAACTTGTAGAGCTCCTTCATCTGGTTCAGAAGAAAGTCAGACAAATGTTGATCTTCTAAGAGAATTCACAGGCTTTCCCCTAGTTTGCTTATAGAAATTATTTGCTTCCGAGAAATATAAATGTCCCTATTGTTTAATCAAAGACAATATTAAAGCATGCAACAACTTCAAGATTGGTACAACATTTAATCTTAAAAAGTTTACTTAGCACAACTAGGGAACGATTATTTTTGTTTTCTGAAATCATCGAGGTATCTATACTATATCTAGAGCAGTCTTAAAGTTTCATTTTACATGTAAGCACTTACCAAATCTATAACACTGGTAGGAATCCTACAAGTGTTGGAGTGAATACTACAAGTGTGCAAAAATGTGTAGTTCCAGGATGGAATCCTGCACAATAAATGGAAACAGAGCATTGTTCAGATTATGCAGTAAAAACAAGGTCTGAAGATTAACTGTACATACTTACCAGATTTATGTACAGGCAGGGGATGCCACAAGACCCTCATGTGAGAACTCTGCATGGATGGATCGAGCGAGTCCTTGAATGGGACAAAACTATGCAAATCCAAGGTAGAGCCCTGCACAGAGTATCAAAACAAGTGGGTTATATTCAGAAAACTCGTTACTTAGTAATGAGGCAAAAAAATCTGAAAATATGTTTTCACAAGGGTAATTGGGGACAGAGATAAACAAGGAAGTATTAGTATTTGTTGACATGAAGGGGAAGTGTCTAGAAAAAGGTGGACTAACATACTGCAGATTATATTCCTAGACAGTAAATTGAACTATTGGATTATGGGTTGATGAGGCATGTACTAACCAGATCATGCACAGAATGTAAGATGCTATTCATGCTCGCACTGGCAACTGAGTGTCCGAGGACCAAGTGTCTGAGTTTTTCAACCAGGCTAGATGATGCATAAATCGGAAAGGCAAAAAGCAAGCCCTGCACAGAGTATTAAAAGAAACGGTTTATTGAGATATTACCATAAACCAAACATAAAGGTGAATGGCTTTGATGTTTATGCGGTTAGAAAAAACAAAGGGAATTCGTGTGTAGGTACTAGGAACGAGTACTAGAGAGCAAATAAGTGTTTTGTTTACCTTGGTTTTGTCAGATTTGACTTTACTGGAATTGTCTCTGAAACTTGCTGCACTGCAAAGAAGATAAAATCCTGCAGATTGAGTAGATGGAAACAGAAAAGGCTGTTATTCAGTAATAATAAGGTAAAGCAAAGAAAATAAATGGTTTGACAGTGTGAACAGTTAAAGTAGTGGATTCATATACCGTAAAATAAATTTCTAAGCAGGGCATGGATTTATTGTTGGAGTATGGGATGATTACAGTATAAATGGTTATACTGTAATTGCCCCTGAAATTTGCTCCACCGCAAAGTGGATAAAATCCTGTATAGTAGATGGAAACAGAAAACTGTATGATGTGTGGGGCCAGGAAAAAGCAAACGTTAGTTAGGGACAAGATGTGAACAGTCAAAGTACGTATATTGGAGTTATGGGATGATTACGCACATGATGGATGAATGATGATACATTGGTGCTTGCACTGGCAAAAAGTGATGAGAGCCTGAGAACGAACTACACTTTGCAAAGAGAGAGACTTCTACGAGGCTGATGATGTACCACCAATCAAGAAGAGAAAAAGGGAAACCTGCACATAAGATTAAAACAAGTGGGTTTTTCAGTTCAGTTGAAAGGACAATAATTCTTAAAAACCAAACGAAAAAAGAAATCTGAATAATTTCGAAGCTAACGAGGTTAGCAAAAGCAAAGGGAACTTGTGAGTAGGAAGTGAGAATGAGAAGAGGATAAGGACATGTTTGTTACCTTGGACGGATTCGTGAGATTATGATTATTGGAATTCCCCCTATTAACCTGCGGCACTGCCTTTTAAGCTCCTCGCTATTGTCAGCACGGACATCTAGTACTCGCAGGGATTTTTGGAGCCTGTCCTCGGGAAGCGATTTGATGCCGGGGCAGCCCTTGATCACTATTTCCTGCAGAGAACTCGGGAGGACGTCTTTGGGCACTGATTTGATGGCAGGACAATTCGCGATCTCTAATTTTTGCAGAGACGTTGGGAGGCCATCCGAAAAAGTGGGAAGCAATTCGAGCTCAGAACAATCGTAGATCTCTAATTGCCGCAGAGAACTCGGGAGGCCGTCCTTGGGCAATGCTTTCATGGAACATCCGGAGATCTCTAATTTCTGCAGAGAACTCGGGAGGCCGTCCTTGGGCAGCAGGCAGCAGCTGGAGCGATGGGCATTCACTGATACATAAGTACTTGATGCTGGCAAGTGTATGTAGACCTGTAGGGAGGAACTGCAATTTGTTGCAGAAACAATATGCGAGCTCTTGGAGGGAGGTGAGAAGCAGGAGGGCATCTCCTGGGATGGGCTCCACTTCTTTGCTACCGAAAAAGCACAATCTGGTGAGGGAGGTGGAGAGCAGGCTGCAGATGGACTCTGACAAAACTCCGGAGGAGTCATCTATTGATAGGGTATGCAGTCTTGAGGAACTGCTGAAACTTAGGTTTGTGAGTTCTTCCAGCTTGGATAGTGTGAGTTGTTCCAGGGAGGTCGGGAAAGGGAAACCAGACGAGGAGCCCGAATAGGATGAAAGCAAATTGGGGCAATTATATGCACTCAATTCGCGGAGGGAGTGTAGACGCTGGAGACCTCCTGAATTGGGGACTATTCTCAGCTGGCGGCAACCTCGGAGGATCAACTTCTCTAGTTGGGTAGGCAAGAGCAGCAGTCCTCCTTCTGCCGTTGCCACTATTTCCTCCTCTTCTTTTGTCTGTTGCTGCTGTGCTCCACTCCGCTTCTCCGACACGCCAACTTCTGTTATATTCTCGCTATCACATATACGCAGGCTGCTGAGCTTCGGGAAATGAGAGAGCAGTTGAGTCACTTCTTTCCCGCTAGCACCACTATTAGTAATGGACACTTCTTCAACTGGAACCTGGTGCGTGACATGGCTCTCACCTCCGAATGGCCACAGTACAATACTCGAATGACCGACTATACTGATGTACTCCAGAGATGATAGCATTTGGATGATATCCATGGGCAAAGGAGGGCAATCTCTTATAATCAACTCTTTTACATCACTGAAATTACAGAAAGCCAACTCATTCCAAAACAAGATATCTGCGCCATCCTCTGCGTGAATGATCAAACGATATCCTGGTTTTCTAAAATGACTACTTGAGTAAGCGAGCTCCTGAAAATCCGAGCCTGCTTCTGCTATCTTAATGGAGCATAGAGTACGTGTCCAAGGGATAGGAGGCATTGTCCTCAGGTTTGGGCATCTTACAATCTTGAGCTCCCGTAGTCTAGGGAACCAAGTCAACTTCTCCCCTTCTTGCATTGGTTGAGAGCAAGTAGAACATGAAAATGGCAACTCCTTAAGTTCAGGGCAATCTTCAATAATGAGCACTTCCAGGTGGAAGAAGAACCCACAATTTTGATTTCCAGCCCACTTGGTCAGTTTTGGTATCTTAACAAACACTAGCTTTTTCAAATTTTGGAAGCATTTTTTTTCAAGACAATTTTTTTGAAAGCTTGGGCTTGAGATGCAACACTTGCACTCAACACGGGGTTCATCAAGCAACCATAACTCTCCTAATGGTGGAAAAGTTTTCCAAGACACATCAGCCAAGTGAAGAGATTCCAAATTTTTGACAAAGAGGTTCTCACCTAGCCATGTTGGGCAATTAGTGCCTCTGTGCCCTCTAATGCACAGATCTCGAAGGTCACTGTGCGGTACAAGATTTTCAAGAACATTTCCTTCTCTTGTGGGATCCCTGTTAGATCGTTTCATACCCCACTCTAATGTTAGTTCTTGCAAGTGGTTTCTGTGTATTGGCCTTATTTCATTTACCCCACCTTTCTCTTGCACCTTTTCAAGATTGTAAATGCCAAGTGACCCTCCAAGCTCTGTTAATTGTGCTAGTTGACTTAGTTCGAAACCAACATTTTCTTTTCCAACTTCAAACCTTCTTAATTCTAAAAGCAATTTAAGTTTTCCCACCTCTGATATGTTTGAATGAACTCGAGGCTTATTTTCTGGCACAAGAAAATGACGCAGCTTTACAAGGTTGGTCATATGCCTTATTGAAATGGGACCGTTCCATTGTTCTAGATTTATTACCTCTAGATGATAAAATCTGAATAACATATCAGGCAAATTGATGTTGCATATGTTATGTGATGGCTCAATCCTAAGGTAACGAAGATGGATGGTTTCTGAAAAGTTAGGCAGAATGTCTTCCATAGAGTATGATGCTCCAGATAGAATAATTGTGCGAAGGGCTTTAGCTTTCCTAAACAGATCACAAAAGGTCTTGGCGAAGCTTCCATGGTATTGTCCAAACAACATCAGAGTACGTAGGTTTTCAACTTTCAGTCGTTTACCTAATGCACTCAAATCCTTTTTATAGTCGTCGAAAGTGATTCTATCATTAACATCTTTATCGTCTACAATTATGGATAAATGACGTACAGATGGGGAGATGTGTATGGACCTGACATTAGAACTAGATATGCTAACACATTCATATGACAAAACCTTGGTGGCCAATTCATGCAGTAGATCATGAATAACATAACAATAACGGCCATCTTTTCTTTTGTCTTTCTTGAAAAACCCGTAATTGACCAACTCATGCAAATGGCCTAGTCCAACATCTTCAATCCTTTTATTCTGATCACATGGATGCAAAATACCTAGTCCTATCCACAGTTGAACTAACTCCTTGCTATCAAATTCGTAATCTTAAGGAAACAAAGCACAATATACAAACAACTGTTTTAGATGGAAAGGGAGAAAATCAAAGCTAAGTTTGAGGGCTGGCATGATGTCACTCTCACTGGTTTCTAGTTCCCATTCTTTGCTTTCTAGTATTCTTTCCCAATGGTCCAAAGTAAGTTGATTTCTTAGTAATCTGCCTACAGTTTTAGTTGCAAGAGGGGAACCTTTCAAATGGCGCACTACTTCACGACCAGTCTCAGATAATTCATAATGTTTTTCCCATGGTTGTAGCTCGTTACCAAATACACATGCTTCAAAGAAACGCATGGTATCTGCATCACCCAGTCTTTCCAGTTCTATTTTATGATTGGTTGTCCTAACCATTTCTGCTACCTTTGGTATTCGAGTTGTGACTACAATCAAATTACCCTTGGACTCTACCTTTCTGAAAGGTGCCATTAGTTTTTCCCACTCATCCTCTTGATATACCCACACATCATCCAAGACGAGTAAAAATCTCTTAGCTTTTAATCTTTGTTTGATAAGTTCTTCAACACTAGCATTCTGCTTTTCATCATCAACTCTATCGATTTTGTTGACTATCTCTTGTGCCAACCTATCTGCATTGAAATCGAGAGAGACACAAATCCAAATTGAAGCCTGGAAAGAGCTATTCACTTCTTGGCATATGTGTTGCGTAAAAGTTGTTTTTCCAATACCCCCTGGTCCGAAAATTGGAAGCACGTTAAGTTGTTTGGGACAGTACTCATGACTAATAATGCCATTTTTAATTTTCCTTTTTTGGTCATCCCTCCCATATAACTCATATTCTATAATCTCTGATGTGGTTTTTGATCTTTTTATAGCAATTTCTTGGGTACGGTTGTGGCTGGATCCCAACAAATCTAGATTAAGAATTATGGAGACCTTAGCACATACTTCCTTCAGCTGCCCTACCATGTCAATCATTGTTCGAGACATTTGCACCCTATCAAACATCAATTCTTTTGTTTCTATATCTCTCTCGCTTGCACACTCAGACATGATAGCTTGAGCACCATCACCATGGACAGATATGGAAGAATAGCATGGAAAGTGTTTACCGAAAGTGTGGGCAGCGTTGCGAGCACTTGAGATGACCCTGGGCATGCATCCACCATCAACTTTATTGACACCTGCCTTGTTGGTGGGTGTCAATGGCGAGGAGCCGATGCCCCGCCTGCCACGCAAGCGTATGCCTAAGAGGTCATAATCTTGGTGATCACCTGGATCAATTTCTTGGTCACCACCACGGCTAGCAGCACCCAAGCACGGGAGGCACTTGAGTTTGCTGATGGCATGTCTCGCCGTGTGTTCAATATTGGTGCGGATGCCTTGGATGCAACACACATCGTTCACACCGGCGGCATGGTAGGTTCCTTTAAGTGAGTCCTGGATGCGGAAGTACTCCAGCTCATCCAGCACATCATCAGCCCCGTACGCGAGCTGCTGCAGCTTGTGCAGGAGCTCCTTGAGCGCGACGCCATGGATGCCCCTGCCCTGCACGTTCTCGAGCATCCCATGTGCATACAGTAGCTCCATCTTGAGGGCGTCGATGTTGCGATCTAGATCGGCACTAGCCGCCCAGGACTCTAGCAAGCCATCTGTGACCGGGGCCAGTGCCTTGCCCAGCACCCACTTGGCCGCGCCTATGGCGGTGTCCATCCTCGGGCTGAAACACAGTTTGCAAATACATATATTTATTATTGGTCACTACTATAAAAGAGTAACATTACTGATTCAAGATCGATGGTTGGAGATGAAGATTAGCTGGAAGAAAGATGCACGTACCGCCGTGAACCCCCCTGCCTCGAGGGCGTTGAGGTGACCCAAGGCGTAGCGGGTTGATGTGGGATGTGCGCAGGAGAGAGAGAGATAGCAAAGCAATCAGCAGCTAGCCGTAGCGTGTGTGGAGAGCAATGTGCAGGAGGAGGGGTGATATAAAGAGAGGGTCAAGGCTCTCCCTCCCAAAAAGCAATTACGGGATGAAGTGAAATAATTGCTGCCGACAAGGCGTTCGAGTGGCGCCAAAGTAAAAGAAGGGGCTCTGCTTCAGATCTTGTGCCGCAGATGCCTCCTAATTTGACCCAATATGGCAATGGGAGCGTTTGAACAGTGTCCGCAGGCATGCTCGCGGAAACGTCATTTGTCCATGCAAACAATGTTTATGGCTATTTGTCCCCAAAACTGTCCTAAAAATGCATATGATGGATGGGATGAAAAGAGAGGAGAAAGCAAAAGGAGTGAGAAAAGTGGTTCAGGGTGGGCGGTTAGACACCCATTTCCTTTTCACATATGAGTTGGGTTTGAGGTCTGTGGACAGTGGCAAAGCTACATAGGAATCTCGGGGGCCAAAGCGAAAACATGAACAACTAGGAGGGCAAAAAATAGTTTTTTCCTTATCTAGGCCATGCATAGTAATTTTCTTCATTGTTTTGCCTATGGCTGAGGGCCACGCCCCCCTCACACTTGTACTAAGCTCCGCAAATTGACGAGGACAAAACCAAATGTAGGTTGGCCAAATGGATGTAGGCCGAAGGACCAAGGGGGCTTGGGCATTGAAAATCTCGAAGTAAAAAATAAGTGTCTGCTTAGCAAATGGATATATAGACTACCGATTGAGACGGAAGGGGTATGGATACAGCTCTTGCGTAATAAATACTTGCATTCTAAAACACTCGCGCAAGTTATGGCACAATCATTTGACTCTCCTTTTTGGAAGGGGCTTATGAGGACAAAGAATGCTTTCTTCAACGGGAGCAAATTTATTGTAGGAAATGGATAGGTACCATGTTTTGGGAAGATACCTGGTTAGCTGATACCCCACTAGCTGCGCAGTACCCTTCCCTATATAACATTGTGCAACGAAAAGATGTTTTGTTTCTGCGGTGTTGGGGTATGTTCCTCTTAACATTCAGTTCAGACGATCGCTAATAGGTGAACGTTGGGATAGATGGTTGCATCTCGTGCGCAGGTTGACGGAGGTCAACTTTTCTGATGCAGCAGACACCTTTCATTGGAAATTGTTTGTGTTAGGAGTCTTCTCGGTTAAGTCTATGTATACAGACTTGATAAACACCAGGACGATCCCGAGGTCGACCCACATTTGGAAAATTAAAGTGTCATTGAAAATCAAGGTGTGTATGTGGTTTGTGCATAAGGAAGTCATGTTGACAAAGGATAACTTGGCAAAATGTAGCTGGGAAGGTAGTAAACATTGTTGCTTTTGTGATCAGGACGAAACAATAGAACATCTATTTATACTTTGCCCACTTGCTAGGTTACTGTGGTGGACCATTCATGTAGCCTTTAACGTTACTCCGCCAGTCTCGGTTACACATCTATTTGGAACTCGGTTAACTAGGATTGAGCCTAAAATTGTGACACATATTCGAGTAGGAGTGTGTGCATTACTTTGTGCCCTTTGGAATTGTCAGAATGATGTTGCCTTTAACAGACAAACCGTCAAAAAAAATTGTAGGTTATCTTCAGTGCGTCGGCTTGGATCCGTGCGTGGTCCTTACTCAACCATGTGGACCACAGGGAGCTTATGGATATTGTGTGCAACCGATGAAAGATGGTTGCACGGGATACATACAACCGGATTGGATGGTGGTCCAATAATAAGATAGGTGTTTAGTTATCTTAACCTATTTTCGCCGGTCGTGGCATATCTTTTTTTGTTTGTTTGAGATTTGTAAGACTTTTCGAGACCTTGTTTGGATCATGGATTTTTAATAATATGGTTGTGTGCATCAAGAGATGCAGAGGCCGGAGGTATTCCTCCTCCTAAAAAAAAGAGCGTGTTAGAGTGTGTTCATTTTGGGGATGAGAAAAAAAGGAGCTCTGACTGATCGGTAGCTCATTTTATCGAAGAAGAGAAATGGGCTAGATTCTCTTTGCTTGGGCCTCTGGCTGCTGCTATTAAAAGGAGGAACAAAGGCAGCTTCTTTGCTTGTTTCTTTTCTTTTAGTAAAGAAGGGTTTGATTCTTCCTGTTTGAATTCCTTTCCCTTTTTCCAATTGACCAGCAGCTCGTTTTACTGAAGAAGGGAATTGGCCTAGATTGCTATTTATCAAAAGGAAAGGTGATAAAGTAGAGCGAAGGCATTTCTACAGCATAAAGAAAGCATATGAGTGGGGTGCTGCTGCTGCTGGCTTTTCACTTTAGTAAAGATAAAGAAGGTTTGAATTCCTTTTCTTTTTACTCTGATACCTTGTCAATCTATAAAGTACAAGTTACCTACAAAATGTGACAGATTAGGTGCGCAATTGTGAACGGTAGATAAAGAGGAAACAAACATAAGATGCATGCTTGCTAATACGAGTATATTGCAACTGGAGTACCGTTTCCCTCTGGAGTACCATTTCTTGACTACCAACAAATGAAACCAGATTAGATAAAATTGCAACTGCCAGAGCCTAGCTAATACTATATTGCAACACTGTAACACAAAAAAGAATAAAAGGAGACTTCAAATAGTTAAGCTGACTAGGTCGAAACTTCTTGAAATTAACATGGATGTCAGATCAATCGGCTACAAATGCTTAGAAATATTTATTTCCTCAATTCAGCCAAAGCAGCAACACCTCCACTAAAACAGGAAGACCAATGTATTTTACTGGACTCCTCATATCACAATATCTATCACATGACTATACTGAACTTAAATCTTCTAATGCATTGGTTAGTGATGACGATGACCAATTGGTCAGTAACTAATGCTGGATTGACCTGGGTAAATTGGTCAAGCAAGCAACTTCAATACTAACTATTTAACTCTGACTGAAGCATTGTGCAAACAAGATAAAACCAGGGCAAGGGTGAAAGAGTGACCTGAAGCGCTGTCCAAACAAGATGCTCATGGCTTGAGAGAACGACATCCTTCCAGACTCCAGGCACTCGGTTTCGCCATGATCCATGACATCCTTGACGGTGTGGCCAATGGAGATCAGAAACGGGCCTGCAAGGATTCATCATTGGGCTGCCTGAGCTGGAGAAGACACAGCAATTGTGTCAGAATACCGCCAGGGAGGAAGCTCATTCTGTTGGCGACTTGCGTCTTTGTTATACTAACCAATTAATCAACCCATACAGAATTTGGCCAGCATGAACAATGTCAGCAACAGTATCATCAGGAATAATTTGGAGGAAATCGAAGGACTTCTGTTTATATACGCAAGGAAGAGGAGAGACTAGCCAGCGGTCCCTATGGAGTAAACCAGAGTTTTGGATTTCGTCCGAAAGAAACGAAATCCCGGCGAAATTCGCCCGTTTCGTTCAGGCCCGGTAGATATGTTAGCCGGCCAAAATTTTCGGCCCTATTTGATTTTTTTTTGGCCCATTCCAGTGTCCGGCCCAGCCTGAATAGCCCTTCCCGCAAAGTAAAAGGCCTGAATAAGGCTCCAAAACCTAAACGTCATCAAATTCCCCACATCACTTCTAGCGGCGGCGCCTTCCTCGATCCCGATCCAGATGTGCTCGCGCCGCCGCCTCCTCTCGGCCACCGGGCGCTAGCTGACCGTTCCATATGCCTCAGTCCGGCAGCTTGGTGTAGCGACGAGTGCAAGTATGGCCATAGCTCGGCCGTCGGCCATAGGACTTGCGTGCGGCGTCCGTGCGCTGCTGGCGGCCGGAACGGAACCACGAGTGAGCAGCGTGATTGGATTTTGCTGCAACTGAAGCGTATCATGCGTGCAAGCAATCAATTGCTAGTTGCAATTCTGTAAGATCCTTATTTGTTTCATTTGCTGCAGGATTTCAATTTTTGGTAGAATTTCGGTCGTTTTTCGTCCAAATTTCGCTCATTTTTCGTTCAAAAATTCAAATTTTGATTCAGTCTTTTCGTCCGGACTTTTCCGAAAAAATCCGAAATTACCGGATTTCGCCTATTTCGTCCGGGGACGGTAAAATTTGCAAAACGAAATCCAAATCCTTGGAGTAAACTCGCCATACATGTGTCGAAATGCCCTATGTTTCCTTTCTAGTATTCGGTAATATATAAACAGAACTTTTGAAACATCCATGCATGATAAAGCATTGCTGCCATTGCTGATAAAAAAAACTTGCTATGCAGCAACAAATGGCACCAAACAGGCAATTGATTCCAATATTCATTAGCCAAAATCAGATTAAAAAAATCAACAGAAACACACGCACAAATTGGACATAAGCAGGAATACAATGTCAAATCTCCCGATCTAATACAACACAGAACATAATCAAACGGCAACAGAGAGAAGATGAACACACACACACAAGCCAGTTGGCTAATTGTGTCCAGAAATAAGATAGCAGAGGGAGTTTAGCAATGAACGATTAATCCTACTATTCCAATTTCAAGTTGACCATGCATGCAACATAGACCGTTGATCTTCGCATGAACAGTGAAGCATACAAAATTGATGAACCCACATTGAAGAAGCCAATTCCGGCATCTTGGCAACCAGAATACAAATCTAGGTACCTGTGGAACAATCAATGTCATTAGTCAAACCACTAGTACTATTCATCCATGGAAAGATGTTAAAGTTATGCAACCTCACAACTTTTTATTATTCAAACTGTAAACATTAGCTTTGCCATAAGGAAATTGTACTAAAATCACCCAAGTTCAATCATCTCGGCATTGTTGGAAAAAACAGCAATGGAAAACAGACTTTTCC